TCTAAGCAAACGATTGAAAATGTTCGGGTTGTGCGATTTCAAAATTTATATTTCATTTTCGATTCTTCGGTAATGAAAGATGTTGTGAAACACTATCGTAATTGTTGGGTTCACTTATGTATTCTAATGTTCTTGCCCATTCGAAACTTCTTGTGTAAAAATTCCTAATCTAGTCATAAAATTCATTTGTTAATGATCAGTTCGGTGTTGACGAGAAATGCACAAAACTTGATGCAAAATGCTTCGGAGCGACAAATTATCGGTAATAATTGAGGATTGTAATAGGATCGGTAATAGGATATGTTAATGGCGGTATTATCTTAAAATCATTTGTCTGTCATGATTTTGATAACCGTTCAGTTACTAAATTTAAGCAGGAAATGGCGTCACAAAGTGGTGGTGAGGTCAGTTCATCACTAGCGCAGCCACAAAAACAGTTTCGTTCTTCTAATGATGAGGTTAGTGCGTTCATTTCGTTTCCTCATTGTTTCATAACTCTATGGTTTACATAATGATCTAGAACCTTCAAGTATATCTTCCATCCCCACAGAAATAGCTTTTCAACGAGAAATTGCCTCATCGACATGTTATATTTAAAATTAAATTCGAGTCGATAGGATGGTGCCTTTACGAGCCAGGAAAATGCAATCAGCTGAAAAAGTAATCATATATCAGAAAATACAATCAAAAAATGAAAATAAGTTATGACAAGCAAAGGATCAGTCAGATTTTGTAAACGGCGGCTGGAAGCAGTGAATAGAGTAAATGCAGTTGAGTAGCGGCAAAGTTTGAAGTGTGTTGTTATTGAATCGAGAGGAAACATCTGTGACCAAGTTTCGTTGTCGGCAAGAACTCAATATTCTGTCTATGTTCAGCTTTCTTGAACATTGCAATTGCAATTGTTTCAGTATTGTCTTTGATTAACTGACAATCAGTTATTGAAATGAACGAATTATTCGTTTGTGATATTCTTGGATCATTTCGTGAAATCAATACGATCATGAAAATGTTACGTGAGAAAATGTGGTTCAGTATGAATGCGAATATTTTCGAAACGGAGAGAGGAATGGAAAGTATGCGTTGGGAGGATTTATGACTGCGATTTGTATTCAACCAGGAGTATATGAGGAATTTGTCACAGTTGAGAGGATTATATAAAACCGGTTGTGTTTGGCTTGTTTCAATAGAGCATTTATTCTGAAAGCTGAGACTTTATGGGAAAGCATTCGTTCGCCTCTTGAAGTGAATTGTATTGATTACTTTCATCAAAAGTCTGCATTGAAGTCTTTGTGAAAAACTTTCTCATGAGGAATGGTATAATACATGAATCATTGTGATTTAGTATAACAGATAAATCTGAATGAAGAGGTGATAAGTTTCGAAAATTTGCTTCCGTCACCACTAAGTGGAATCGCCGTTCTCCGTAATTCGCTTCTACTGTTCCATACAGACATGATTCAGTTATATCAGGCCAAAATTGGAAACGAAAATCTTAAATTCGGTTATATATGCATGGTCTTAGCAATCATAAATGGTCTCTTCGTTTAGTAGCACCAAAATTAGGGTTTTTCGGAAATTGAGGCAGCAGAATTTTGCGAGACTATTCAATCGAGCCGCACATGGAAGAATTTCATCCACTTTGCTGTCTTCTCAAAAAACAACTGCTCAGTTGACTTCATTTGATAATGTTTGATGAATCCCTTAAACAATGTACGACAGCCAAAAAATAATGTACGATAATTGGTCGCTTTCGAGTGGTCGTTCATACATAAGCCAGTTTGTGTGTTAATCGAACCACTAAATACACACATTTGGATGAATGCAGGCAGTAGTATGCGATCACTTTAGATCTTTTCGGTACTCTTTAATATGCCTAACCAAATTTCATGACTGATGAACTGATTCTTGAAGTTATAGACCAGTTGTACGCAAAGCCAAATTAACATTTTCAGCTTATAGTTTTTAATTTATTGTTCGTATGATACGCATGTGTGTAAAAAAAAGCAACGACTACAACAAACAACAAATAGTATTTGTTAATTGAACAGATCTTATGAAACACTACGAATAACATGTCAAAAATGAAATTTTTTCGTGCATTCACGACAATAAACAATACGAATATAATCATCAACTAAACACTCTTGTTTGTCAAATTCTTCACCGAAAAGTTTGTTTAATTTACACATACTTCATATTCACAAATATTGTGTTGTATATCCTCCGCTTGTGTTCGTCTTCACAATGATTCTCTAAAGTTACCACTCGGCTCTATTCTCCGACATCAAAAACCATCATTCTCTTTTCACCATTGAAATCACTCACTTCTGTGATCGAAGTGTTCTTAAAGTCATTCATTTGTGACGGTATTTTCGGATTATCACTTACTGATATCACTATCGTTATCGCAACCATCGTCAACGTCTAACATTCATCCACCGAATATTATTCTACGTTAAATGAGTAACCGAAAACAGATCCCTACTGTACAACTTTCTAAAGCTTCCATTACTTATACTGTGTTAAAGTTGAGACTAATTACTTTTTTAACATTAAATACTCATAGTTTATTCATAAAGTATGCCTGAGAAGTCCACTAAACAATAAAATTTATATTCTGAACGAACATCGCAGAATACATTCGAATTTTGTTAACAGCGTGAAGAATCGTACCGTGGTCAGCAGATAGAGCCGCATTCTGCGAGAAGAACGTCTGTCAAAGGCGGATATCCAAAATCGATTCTGAAACAATCCACTTGTAGTGACTGTCGAAACGATCATACGTCAACAAATGCTCTGAATGAAGCAATTAATGTTCGAAGTGACATTTATGATGAATATCCTCAAAATTTACCATATAATGTAAATAAATTTTTTCTGTTACATTGATATTCACTAATTTTAGGAAGAATTCTGATGATTTTCGCTAACGTTTTATTGTACATCATTTTGAATGTTTTCATTTCATGGAATGCAAATTCATTCGATTATCTCATTGATTTCGATAGCAAATTAACAATACATTCAAAAAGCGGTCAGATATAACGAGAATCAAGCATTGAAACGCCTTCACAGATACGAAGATCAAACGTTACGTTAATTTGCAGATAAATACGAATTCATCGTCAGATATAAATTCATCGCCAAACATATCAGAGTACGAACGAATACGATCCACGTTCAATGTCAGTGATTATAATATCAACGATGTACCATTCGAAATGTTAAGTGAACAAGAAAAACTCCAAATAATGCATGAAAATCTGAGGAAGCAAAGGCAACGTCCAGTAACAATGCACAATCAATATCCAAAAACTTCATTCAGTGGGCCTTTCTTCCGTCTCGAACAAACTGAACCAGTCTGTAGACAAAGGTTATTACTGAAGTTAAATTACATTATCATCTCAGCTTATGTGTCACCTCAAGTTCGTTCATCTATTTAATATTATATCACAACTCATCAGTCCAAATCAACATTTGTATACAGATATAAACTTTGTTCATTTCTTTCCAAACAATGTTTTTATACCTATCTAATTTCCACAGATCTCAATCGGTAGCGCCATTGCTTACTGTTAAAGAGCCATCTGATGATAATCATTTGCACTCATCCCGAAAACAGTCATCGTCTAAGTTTGATATTCATATTCGAAATAGTCATCCTGATTTCTACTATTCCAGTCAGCCCAGTATCGATCGACAAAGGTTATTGTTGAAATGATCTGCTCATTAATTTTTGAACTTCTCTATCTNCACGATTAAATATCTTGAATGCATGAAACTAATTTTTAATTGCACATTTCACAGATATGATAGTGTTTTAGCTGCCATAGTAGAACTGTAACGTTTTTTCATTATTGTACTAAACCGAAGAACAGTTGCCGAGAAATTATGTTTATTATTAAGTACCAAACGTGATAAATGTTCAAAGAGGTAATTTACCTCATCCGAGATTTGAATTTTGAATCATGGATTGCATGTAGGTCGTGAGATTTATTTTATTATCAAATAAATAATGATATCACTATTATTATACAATAGCCAAACCTGTCTCTGTTTTTCTCGCCACAGCATGGAATTCAAAACTTTATCAAGTCGAAAATCTACCACTCTTTATTTATAGGTTCAATAATTCAACTCAGACATCAATTTCTGATTTGGAATTGCAACAAAATCAACACTTCAATAACGAACGTTATACTGAGGTTGATCTTACCACTTTTCGTTTTTCTCAGTCGCAAACTATTTCTTCCAACTTAGTCTGATGATATCCATCGTTTTCGTCCTGTTATTCATCACTAAAGGTCTTTATCGGAATTCATGAAAGCTGATTTGGATCAATCGAACATTCAAAATCGATTTTCACTTACAATTAGACGTTTTTATCAATCATTTCAACGAATCAAGATGAGAAAGAATTCTCTCCGTTATGCATCCCTTAACACACAGTAATGATGCACTCATTCCTCACATCCGAATCTCTTTTTTTTGATTTGGTGTTTATAGGGCTATCGTGATGATAGAGCGAATGTTGTCTATTGGCCACCACCACAATCATCACAACATACAAGACCACCATCGACATTCACAAAAAATATCACTGATCCGGAACGGATCAACGAATATCGAAGGCAAAAACAGTTGGAATTAGAGGCTTTGCAAAGGAGGAATGAACAAAATATGATTTACCGTCAAAAACAGGTTCATTATGCATTACTTATGCATTCTGATTGCTTTCTGTGCTATTCTCCTATAAATGCTCTGATATATTCTTGTTTCATCAATGTGACACGGCATTATTACTATTATTATTTTTATAATCTTCTTTACATTCATTGTGTGCGATTTTTAAAATCGCATTTCATATCGCTCTTTGATGAATTCATAATGGGATCATAATGGTTCGGCTCAAATCAACGATCAAGTCTTTGAATCATGCGAAATGTTTATTTGATGAATTTTGATGTAAACATGGGGTTGGTGATATTCATGAAACAAGTTTAGTGGTATTTACTTGTCAAATATACTTCAGTAGATTTTTGTTGATGGAACAGTCAATCAGTTGAATGGGTTATGAAATTGTTCAAACGGAGTTATATGATATTGATAAGCAGCAATCATCAAGAGTGTTCATTAATTTGCAGTCGCATTCAGTCGAAACACAGCATAAACATGACTTTGAAAGGCCTCAATCAAACATGCCTTTAAAAGATGACACCGGTTTGATGTCATCAATTCGTGATTTGTCGTCCCCAAACGAGCGAATTCATTTGAGAAATTTGAATTTTAGTCCATCTGAACGGGACGTTCAAATCGATGACTCTCAGGTTACCTACTGAAACATTCGCGATTGATTTGCATTAGAATTGGGTCCTCACAGCCATATTTCAGTCCCAAAAAGCCCAAATAATATTCCGCTCATAAGAATTTTGTCTGAATATTACATGAGAACAGTGAAGTGAAACCGACGAAGATTAATGAAAATTTAAGGAGGCTGAATTAGCGAATTTAAATGCACAACAAGTGTATGTGTTCGAAACGAAACCAATCTCACCGTCGCTGTCGAATGAGAATCAGTCGCTTACGACACACGATTCACTGTATTCACCGACAGTTGGCACATGGAAACGAACATATGTTGTTGACAGTATGGAGCCGAATGCAAAAAATGAGATCATTAACAGCAATGAATTGCTCGAAAGGGAACGTTTTGATGTTGACCTTCTTAAGGTTACGATTCTCATCGTTCATCTCTTAGATTCTATTTGTAATATATTTTCTGTTACCTCTTAATAAAAGTGTTTTTCAATGAATATAGCAACCATTTGGTCTTTTTCTCATCTATTACTCAATCTTGTCATTTTGGATAATCCGATCTCTAATTTCACAACATTGCCGAAATTCTTCTGTTTAATCCAGGAACTTTAAAAGTTCTCATTGTGTGGACAGTTAGTCTTGTGGTTAGATATCCTAGTGAAATTGAAATATTTCAGTGTATTATAAACATCAATACTTCATCTTTTCCAGTAACGGATTGAAATTTTCATTTTTAATGAGTTTCTTCGTTTAGC